CCCAAGTATATATATATATATATATATATATATATATATATATATATGGGCAAGTTCATTTGTTAACCTTACTTATTGTGTTAACTTTATGAACTAATTATGACCATTGATTTTTAAAATAAAGGGTTGAGATTAATCATATTATAAATTTAATTTATTAAATGTGTAATCTCACAAACATATGTGAACATAATTGTTGGAGGGTATTTATTTAAAAGATAATGTGCATTTAATGATATCGGTTACAAACACTATAAATATTATATGTTCAATTGTATTCATAATTGCCATAAATGTTCATATATGTTTAATTTGTATTCATAATTGCCATAAGCATTCACATATATGTTCAATTTGTGTTCATAATTGCCACAAGTGTTCATATATGCTCAATTTGTGTTCATAATTGCCACAAGTGTTCATATATGCTCAATTTGTGTTCACAATTGTCGCAAATGTTCACATATATGTTCAAAATGTTCATATTTGCCACAAATGTTCATATATGTCAATTTGTGTTCATGCGGGTGTATACATGTCAATTTGTGTTCATAATTACTAAGACACTCGCTTTGATTATTCAATTAACTTCCCGATCTTGAACTACGACTGTCACCATAAACAATTTTAATATTCTCAATGTTGTCGTGTTGTTTTCCAATGTCTTTATCCGTATTGCTTGAACGATAACAAACACTTTATTAGTGAATCTCCTCCATCGATTACAAATTTATAAATATTAAAAATGAAAGATCAATATTAAAAAGTGAACAAAATCACAAGAACAATATTAAAAATGCAAAGATTATGGATTTTATGGATCTTGTAACTCCCAATTAATGATATAGGAGTTACAAAAAAAAAATACCCATATACCCTTAACATTAAATTCTTAGATAGTGAAGAACCTGATACTAAAATAAATTGTAATTGGTCTAAAAAATTTATAAAATTAACACAAATAATTTGGATTAACATTTGAACTAATCTCTTTCGATCTATAATTGCAAGTTTTTTTAATTATGTAATGATGAATTAGGTAGTACGTCTTTATATAATAATGAGCGACACCATGCATCCATAATAGCTGATCTTGGAAGTCAACTTGTATACCTACCTACCTACCTTCAAATAATAATCCTCCTTTGCCAACGATATTCCAATCACACCAAATTCATTAACATAAATAAAATATTGCAGACATTTGTTAGAGTTCCACATCGATTTTACAAACAGTCTATTTGGTAGTTATAAACTTTTTCAAAGGGTCTTCGGTTTTTTATTTATGTATTGTCTAATAAATTAAGAAGCTACATCCATAAATATATGACAACAATCTTAATTGGTCAATATTTTTATCAGATATCATCTTATATATAAAATTTGAGAGTGAATGATTAACGACTCACCTGGACTTTTGTGTATACAGAATCTCTCTTTCTCTCTCTCTATCTCTACATGCATACATATATATATATATATATATATATATATTTGTGTGTGTGCCTATATATAGAGATAGAGAGTTTGTGTCGAAGGGCAAAATGGTGCTGAAGACGGTAATCAAGGTGCAAATATGCAACAAAGACAAGAAGAAGATTTTTAAGTCGGTTTCTACACTCGAAGGTAATTTTACTTTTTCGGCCGTGCTTTATTTTTATATTATTAAATTGTTATATATACATGTTAGGCAGTAATAATATATCATCTTATTGTAATAAAGCGAGTTTTTACATAATTATGAAAATATAAATACGAAAATATTTGTTAAAAAAATTTGTATATGTAAAATATCATACTTAGAATCATTGTAACATTGATCTGGAAATCGATAGTAAGAACGATAATTTCTTTGTAATAAAAAGTCAATTAAGATGCATGATATGAATTTAAATCGAATCATATGTATCCAAATAGTCAATTAAATTATAATTTCAACGATCTTATATGTTTATGAAATTTATTGGGTTTCTTTTGAATATTGAGGTCATTTATCAAACACTTACCGGATATGTAAAAGCTTATTGACAAGAGTAATCATGCCACTTACCTTGTCAAATAATATTTCTAAGTATTTAAATGGATTGTGGTAAACATCTTTTACCCAATAAGCACTTACCATGTAAAAGTCTTCTCTTTCACTTGCCAGATAAGATTTTTTTTATCATTGTTATGTCTTTTACCGAAATAAGATTCTCGATCTTTGTCATCAAGATCGTTTTTGGAGAAGGACGGGTCAGGCATATGCCCAGAACCCACAAAAAACGAGGAACCAATTTTTTACTATATAATAATAGTTTAAAAAATTAATAAATAAAAAAGAAATCTTTTAGCATCTAATAGTACTAAACAATTTAATATTATATTCAGGGCTCGTACAAATATTAATTAATTAAACTTAGGAAGAAAATATTTAAAAAAGTAATTAATTTTTTGTTTTATAGTATTATTCAAGGCAGCTTATTAGCATGTTAATATGAGTCGTTGAACATGGCACAAACATATTACTTGTGTTTGGGGGCCAATTTTAGATAGGCCAACATCTAAATTCATCTCATCGAAAATCTATCTAATTTATTTCAAAATCAAAAAATGACTATTTAATTTCAGAATTTGTCGATCAAAAAATGACTTTTCAATATTTTTTTGACTTTGACATTTTATACATTTTTGTTGTTTTAGTTTGTAATTTTTTTAACATGATATGAACTTTTATATTTTATTTTATTTTATTTATTACCCATTTAAGACGATTTATAATTTTAGTATGGGTGTAACAGGCCTTCGAAAAGATTGGGATAACCCTACTATTGTTTATTGTTTTCTCCAAGTTATTAATATTTAGTATCAAAGTTTAAAACTAGTTGCCAATAAAACCTTGATATATTTCTCTATCGTTCATGTCCCCATTGACTATTTTAGTTATTTCATACGCATTATTTCTAATTTTGTATTAACTAAGAAAACTCATATCTTTTGAAAAACATTATCAACCATATGAGATGAACCTCATATTTAGGATTTCAAAACAATCTTATTTTTTCATACATTCCGACTTCTTATTACCTAATATTGAGTGCATGAATCTTAAGTAATCTTTTATCCCTAAAACAAGAATAAAATCTTAAACTATAACTGACATGGGCTTTTGATTGTAAGATTGATGGTTTCGAAAAAGTTTGTTTAACCTTAAAATTTTGAAATGATGATGAAAAACATTAATATGAGTTGAGATGAAAACTCAACTGATCTATATTAATTTACATAGAATTTTACTTCGAATAGTCGACATTGTGACTCCAAATGATGTCAATCTACATATTAAAAGTATATCTTATATGTTTGCTATGGTGGAACAGATTGAAGATGTTATGTAAAAATGATATGGTAGATAATATTAATTTAGAAATAATTAATTATTGATTGATTTAATACTTGAGTAGATGGTTTTATATGAATTACTAGTATTTTTTGGATTCAATGTTATTTTTGATGATATAACAATGTATTGAAGTTTTTTTTGTACATGTTGAGGGCCATTTTTTACATCTTGTCCATGGCCTATAAATTATGTCAGGAACATGTCTGCTTACCATGTTTGCTAGTAAAGTAAGTGACACTCGATAAACGCTTATTCAATAAGAGTTTAGTAAACAACCTTACTTTTCTAATAAGTTCGGTTTGTGCCAATAATTGAGTAGGAGCTATACGTCGAAATGTGACTCTTTTCACACAAAAAACTTTCTTTTCTTTGAGTAGTTGATTGTATTACATCGTCAATCGAAAAAAAATCCAATAAAAATGAATGCAAAAATTAAGTTCGAAATTATATCGTTGAAAGGACGTGAGCTGAAATTTACCTTTATAATAAGGTAAACATTAAATGTAATTTTTTGTCATTTAAATTTTGCATAATCTAATTTCATTTATAAATTGGTTTTTTGTTGAATTGAATTGAATTGAATGTAGGTGTGAATAAGATCGAAATCGATGTGGCCAAAGGAACATTAACGGTAATAGGAGATGCAGATCCTTGTAAGATAATTTTAAAAGCAAGGAAGATTGTAAAATGTGCAGAAGTGATGACAATTGGACCTCCACCCCCACCTGAAAAGAAACCAGACCCACCCAAAACTAGTGTTTGTGGCTGCCCCTCTATCAATATGCCACCCTACCCTTGTCAACCATTAGCCATGGTTCATATGAATCCATCGGAACCATATTGTACAACTTGTACCATCATGTAAGTATGTATTAAACTAGATACTGATTTTAATGTTGTTCATTTCATATTCACGTTTATGATTCCGAATCATGTCTCATGCATTACCCCAAAGGCCATTTGGTCCTTCAATCTGGTGACTTTGGTCCAAACAAAAATCAATAGATTTATTCGGTTTATGGAATTTATATTGTTAAGAGCTTTTGATGATTAATTAATTTTAGACTTTAGATTAGAATATCTGGATTGTTTTGGAAATTTTTAAGCAAATCGATTCATCACAAATAGGTTAAAAAATTGATTAAATGAATCATTTTTTTTTCTAGTCACCTTGTGGACTTGCGGCTCCAATTGATCAACAAAGTTACATTTTTGACCTTTTCCAACAATTTATGACTGCATTTTTATTTATTTACCAAAATGACATTCCATTAATTACCATCTTGTCATTTAAATTATAAAATTGTTGGTTTATTTTTTTGCCGGACTCTCCTTTTCTCTTAATTTCTCTTTTAAGCTTATAATCTTATTTCCACCTAGGAATCGTTTATCAAACACTTACCCGATAAGTGATTACCGGTAAAATTTAACACTATCACTTACTTATAGGGTAAAACTTTAGTCCATTAAAACATAATCGTATGCAACAATTTACCCAGTAAACACTTATCATGGTAAGAGTCATCGCCCTTACTTACCGGGTAAGACTCTCGGTCTTTGTTTCCCTTTTACCGGGTAAGATTCTTGGTCCTTACCATATTCATCCGGTAAGGTATTGTGACTTGCTATGCGCTTACCCGGATAAGTGTTTGATAAACGACCTCTTACTCTCTTTTCAAGATTATTTCGTGTTTCAATTTTTTGTGTTTTCAAATTACAATGAAAAAGATCTCATACAATTCTCGGTGTCAAGCAAATGGTTCTTAAACAAGGTCTCAAGTCAAGTCTTCAATTCTTGAATTTGTGATCAAAGTAGTCATTGACAATAATCGAAAAACCTCGGTTTAACAAAATTACGATTCAACAATTTTATCAAATGAGAAAAGAAAGATGATGTAAATTATGTGACATCATTTTTACAACATATGGAAATTTCATGTAATTGTCAAGGCCAATAAATAAATTAATAAGCCTATTTTGGTGTCACGAAATTAATTGTATTAGTAGTAGAGACTGTGGAATCAAGAGGGATTAAGCATGAAATGTATTTAACTTCTATACTTTTTACAATACAAAACCGAAGATAAAAATTTTGGGGGGTGGACTCTTGAAGGAAAACGATACGATAAAATTAACTATTACGACAAACATAAATTAAATTGCAATGGATTAAGAAATCAACTTATAAAGGATTCTCACACTGGGTTTAATTTCAAGTTCGACTCGAGCCAATGATCATCGATAATTAAGTAACTGTATAACCATAAATTTTTCTTGACAAATACACCCAACCTTGAACCTCGTACAAGATTTATTTTTAAACGAAATTGTTCAAGATTTACTTTTCATAGTGTAACGTCTGAAATGCTCAAATGTGTAACGTCTGAAATGCTCCATAAAATTTACCATATTTTTATCATAGTGCGATGGTTCATTGAATTGATCCGTCCATATGGATTACGATAAAAGACACACTTGTGTTCAAGCAATTAGTTTACACATATATGGACTTAAAATTATATAAATTATTAAAAAATATCATCGTTTTTTATAATTTAACAAATACAAATATTTATATTTCTTTAAATAATGTTTCCAATTACACAACATATGTTAAAAAATTACAACTGAATTTGAAGCTTGTAATATAATGGTGTTTTAATTTCTACACTTATTGAGTTGCACATATTAATTATTTTAATAGTACAAGTTGGGTTAGACGAAGTTGACACCCGTGTGGATAAAATATAAATTTTAAATATATTTTAGTTAGAGATGAAATCGTCATAAGCATATGTTATAAACCTTTTTATAAATTTTTGACTATATTGTTCTCAAGTTATAAACCTTTCATACATGTTACACGAGGTATGATTTTTTTGTGCGTTACAAGTGCAAAGTATGCACAGATTTTTCCCCTCAAATCGACTGTGTCAAGTAGGGGTGTACATCAGGTGGCGTTTAGATGGACAAACCAAAAATCCGATCGGATTTCGTATATGAAATCCAAGCCCCGATAATGGATTTTGGATTTCAGATTGCTTCAGGTTCGGGTTGGTCGGGTTTGCGTATAGTTATATGCAAAAGAAAAAAACATATGTACTTTAAATCGATTTTGAAAATTTATTCAATCGATTGATTGAATGATGAAATGATAGTAGATTTACAAAATTAAAAAGAGTATGAACGATTAAGATTTAAAATTTTCTAAAGATAATTAGATATATAAATATATTCATATAATATTTTAAACTATATATATATATATATATATATGTGTGTGTGTGTGTGTGTGTATGTATATATGTATATTTCGAGTTTTCGGACTAGTCGAGTGACCAGAAATCATACCTAACCTGAAACCAAATATTTCTTCAAAACCTGTGTTCGGATTTTTGAAATTCGAGACATTCGAATTTTCTATTAACACCTCATTTCGGTTCGGGTTCGATTTGAGTTTTGAGACCACTCGTGTTCTACACACCCCGACAGTGTCAACCGGCAATTCTCCATTTAAGTACCGATTTTCTTTTGTAAATTAGACAAAACAAGTCCCTTCAGTTCTCCATTTTNTTGTATGTTTAACACAGAACATAATTGATCCTCTACTTTGACTTTATATTTCATTTTAGTCCAAGGTTGAAATTTCCATAAAATTTGTGCATATCTTGGGCCGTTACAACTTATTTGAGCCCAGTCCTCGTATCACATATGGGCCCAACAAATTAAGACCAAAATTTCATATTACATCTGTTTACTCATTTAGCATAATATAAAATATTCAGCCGTAATCCATCTTTATTGTATGTATACATAAACGAAAGGTTATGCAAAAAAAAATAGGAGTTAAAATGAGAAGTGTAAGAAGAGATTCGAACTTTTGCTCACGTTTAATCTCACTTTTATCCCATAAATTGTGCTTGATACGGGAATTGATCCGGTGAATCTCGGTGCACCTCATCAATTTTGATATTCAATTAGGATTGATCCAAATGTGGAGATCATTTCTTATCTTTCTCATCATAACTTTCATTCTCACTAGAACTCAACATACCGCTATAGATGAATGGATCGTGTGAGAAGGAAAATTATGATGAGAAACGTAAGAAGAGGTCTAAACCCTTGATCACTTTTAATTTTATGTTCATCCATGAATTGATCTTTAGAAAGAAATCGATCCGGTGCATCTCGTTACACCTAATTAGTGTTGACATTCATTTAAGATTAATTCAATGATGGAAATATTTTCTTACGTTTCTCACCACAACTTCCATTCTTATCGGAGCCCAACCTATCTATCTATCTATTTATATTATATATATACATACATATATATAATACATGTTTTTTTGTGAGGCCAGTTTGTTTGTATGAGACCACAAAATAACACTGAATATTCACATCAAAACATCATTAAACTACAACAAACATTGAACTTTCACAGCGGAAACACTATAAAAGTTCATTTTTATGAAAGTTCAGTGTTATTTAGATGGTCTCATGGGTCTCACAAAAATATGTCAAGTCACATGATCCTAAATCTACACACGTATCTGTGTATGTGTGTTAAGATATGAGTTATTTATCAAATAAATAAGCTAGGAGGGTTTTATTTATTAATTAATAATATATATTTTTCTTGAGAAATCAAAGCTGCAAATCGATGAAAACAAAGAACTATAGCATGAGATGACATAGACAAAGTCAAATGGGAGTTGTTTATAAGTAGCTGAAATTTGTATTACATTTATATACAGATCTTGATCTTGATTCTCATATATATATATATATATATATATATAGAGAGAGAGAGAGAGAGAGAGAGAGGAGCGATCAAATGAAAACCACTCCAATTTGTAAAAATCGTAAAAATTACTCTCATCCGTCGATTTTATTGTTTAATCTTATGAAATTTTTTCATGAAATTGTTTAATCTTGTGAAATTGTTTCATATAATATTTTTTTATGAAGTTGTTTCATATATGGTTATGAAATTGTTTCATATACTACTTAATGAAATTTTAATGAAACTATTTCATGTATTTCTCTAAAATTAAAATAATTAAGATGATAATGTCCATGATTAACATCATCCACAATAAAAATGATTAATCAACCTCTCATAATTACAAAAAAATGAACAAAATGAAAAATTATGATTTATGAAATGAAGTTTATATATATATATATATATATATATATATATATATAGACTTGGGATAATGTGAGACAAATGGTTGTTCGTGAGACCCGTAAGACCAATTCTCAACCCTTGAATTAGATCTACAATTAAAACATTCATAATCACAAAATTGTCACGAGACTTCTCAATAATCACAAAATTGTCACCGTACAACTTTAGACCATTAAATCATTAGCTTATAAAATTGATCAATAAACATAAATTGGTCTTACGGGTCTCACAAAAAACCTTTGGTCTCACGTGAACCCAACCTCATCCATATAAACCAATCTCATCCATCTATTTTCTTGATCAATGGTAAAGATTAAATTAGTTTATTTTAGGAAATAATATATATATATGCAATAATTGTAGAAATCCTTAACTTGTCATGTATGTTGAGATATGAACTTACAATCAATGTAAAATATGATGATTATTTTGATTTTTTAACGATTAACTTTTATTTTCTTGATTACAATTTAGCAGATGCATCATTTATTTTTTATTGTATTAGAAGAAAAGAAACTTCCTAAAGCAAGAAACTAGATTAATCGTCCAAACACACACAACAATAAGAGGAGATGATAATAAATTCTGCAAGAAGCACAATAAAACTATCAAAACACTAGAAATGGAATGGATTTGAAGAGATTTGGATTTTAAATCAATTTCAATCTCATGTTTGGTTTGTTGCATTGTCCGGATTTGTAATCCTACAAACACACGATTTTGA